AACCCGTCACCATTTTGAGACTTGCTGTGACCCTCTGCAGGCAGCTCTCCCCATCATGATGGTTCTAATGCTCATAAGTATTGAATTGTATGGAAATAAATGATTGTTGATTGAGCATTTATACACCGAGTACTGTCCTTCCTTCAGCCCAAAGATTCAAAGAATTGGGAGATTTCAACAACTTGGTGCCGTGACCCGGATCTTTGGTGTGCTGAGGAGGTGCAGATTTGGCCTGTGGTGAGATCGTGGGGCGAGGCGAACAGAGGGCCGGCCTAAAACAGAAAGGTAAGCACAGCCTGTTGTATTATAAATACCAAATGTGCATATTGGTCTTTCCAAATTAATCTGTTCGCTGAGTTACACGTATTTTCACATTAAATTTGTCGGTGTCTGGTTTTTGGCGCAAGATACTAACAACATAAGTTGAGGCTGAATTCCAGTGTGTAAGTAAACTGCTTCTACCGAGAATCTAATAAGACACTACGTTGAGCTAGTTGCAGTCCACTTTACCTTCCACATTTAACTTTGTCTAAGACTGGCTTTTGTAGCAATAATACATTAGAATCTCTTTTGGAGATGTGGCCATAAGTCCAGTACATTGAAGTCGAGGTTTTGAAGTTTGTTTATGGTGTCGGTTAAGTCCTTGCTCATGCGGCTATGAAATAGAAATTGATTTAAGGAAAAGCAGATGCTGGCTCACGGTGCAGTTGAACACTGGCAACGCCGAAAGCGCAACACGTCCGTAGGTTTGGTTTATGGTACGGCCGTGTTCCGGTGGTGCGGCCGTGAAGTGCAGTAGTGGTTGGCGCTGGTTTCAGTACATTGAATAGAGGTTTGACGGTGGTTTATGGTGTCAGTCGAGTCTCAAGGGCTGCGGTCATAAAACAAAGTAAAATTTTACTTGCCAAGAAGTACATAGAACAAAACCTGGTTTATGGTGTCGGGTATAACTTCAGGGGACGCAGGCATCACTTTTATGATGCGATTTTGCCCCGTTGTAGCGGCCATAAGCGCAGAGAAAGGGGTATTTTGGTCTATGGTTGTTGTGCATCAGAAGAATTCTAACAGCTCAGAGGTTTCTGTGCAAATTTCTGCTGATGAAAAGCGCTCTCTGTGGGTCTCACTGTTGGTGAGTGTGTGTGAGGCACGCTCTGAGTGTGTTTCTGTGTGTGAAGTGCGAACACAGTGACAGTGACGGCTGATGTGTTTGAATAGGAGGACATTAGTGCGAAGAAGATGCTTTAAGATCAAAGGTTGACGCCTAGTGTACCTGTGGAAACTAATTTTGTTCATGGTTTAGCAACCCTCCTGTCTGTAGACGTGCAGGCAGGTCCAGCGGCGTCTGGGTGCCGAGGTGGCGGCTTGGGAACTGAGGACTCCCGCATAGCTACAGAATAACACTGGAACGGCCGTGTAATCACGGGTTCACATTTATTCTGGAATAGAACAAGAGAATGCTTTTACAT